CGGGGTCTTGGACACTGAAAGGGAGAAAGCTGACGCTGTAACAACCTTTTCTAGATTAGTACATCGGTTCTATCTTTCCGAACTTCAGTTATTTAATATGATGGCATGTGCCATCTTTAACTTGTACTCGTTTAATAAGTTACTTCCATTGTACGAACGTTAGCTTTTTGTTTGTTTATTTGGTATGACATAACAATACAGATTCGCATGTTTTGCGAGTATTGCGGGCAGGCCGGAGGTTGGACTGTTGAAACCTTGGGCTCAGATGGGAAGGGCCAATGCTTGAGGCCGACATCTTGAAAAGGCGACGCCTCTGTCAAATGCCGGGCTGCAAAAGGTTCGTGCCGGTGAATCTTGAGTTCAGGCCAAATGCTTGTCCATTTGTGTTTTCGTCCCTGGAACAAATCAGCATATTTCCAGTAGTGATAGATTCCCTTTCAAACCAACAGGGGAAAATAATAATAATATTCTTAACCAAATGGAAGTTGATGAACAACAAGTGGAACCCATTTTAAGAGAAGCTGCAAAGGTCTGGCTCAAGGCCCGGCCAAATCGAACAGTGGCAACAACGTGTGGAGAAGCGACGCGAAGCGCGGGCCGAGCAACGGCATGTTACTGGGGTTGCTCAAAAAGAACGAAATTCAATGGAGAAAAGGAGCGCATAACACAACACAACGTACGAGACACCCAATTGGGCGATTTGAGGCGAGATCGATTAGAGTGATTTGCGGACGACAACATGACTCGCACTGCTACAGCCCCATAGCGATACGAGCGCGCGCACCTGAGCGAGGGTTGAAAACGCCAACTCTGCAACGGCAGCGTGCACAACCGATTTTGTGCCAGGCAGGGTGCGTGCTGAACGAAGGTACGAATCGGTCAAACTTGTGTAGGCTGTGTCAAACCTCATCTTTGTGCCGGCAACCAGGGGCAAAGTGCCAGCATCTGCATGCATTGGGCGCCACTTCGCAGCGAAACGCGCGTCGGTGTATGGTAAGCTGGAAGCGATGCCAACATCAAATGATTAAATCACATGTACCTCTGGGACGTGCGGCGGGCAGTCGTCAGCAAATGTGCTGGCTCGCGCAATTGCACTCCTAGGCGGCCGGAATCAAGGGCCAGCCTCGCATTCATCTCAAGAGCAAGCCGCGACGCCATATGCGCCTGTATCTGCACGCGCTGCACAGGGCGAGTGTCAGCGAAATGTGTGCCAGACGCATTGGAGGTCGCAACTCCATGGGTAGAAGGCGCCAGTGCGAGCATATGCGCTAAGGCCCACGCATCGGCGAAACCTGCGCCGGCTCGGGCAGTGGACGCCTCAATTTTGTATGGACTGGGAGCGAGTGCAAGCATCAGAATGCACCAGGAAACCTTGTTCTTGAAAAGGCACGAACGTAAGCAGGAACGCAAGCATCGGCGACGCGCGCAGGCTGGTAAAACTGAAGTAGCCGGCATGTTTGATGTGTCCAGGGTTGCTGCAGTGGGGCCAAGCGAGCGAACCGGCTGGCAAGCAAAACCCATGCCAAGAGTCACTGGACAGGTCAGATCGCAAAATCTAGCAAAGAGGCCAGCGCATTGTTGAGAGGCGACATGTGGTTTAGATTGATTCGCGCAGCTCCGTTCAGGCGGCCAACACAGCGGAAGTTGGCACCGCTTCACACTTCTTGTTGCGGGTCTGTTTTCAGACCCATGAGCGGGTTCCTGCCGCGCCAAAGGACAGGTGTGTACCGAAAAGAATCTGTTGGAACCATTCAACATGTTCATCATTAAATTTTAGCCAAGGCCCAACCTGTTCAATATTCTTTTCTGGCTCAACTCAGCTGGTGATCGCAGCTCGGCGTTCCGCTGCGGCGAGCTCTTCAGAACGGAGCGGAGCTGTGAGGCCAGGACTGCACGTTGCTCCCTGCAGCTCAAGTGGCTCGACCCTCGCATCGGGTCCAGAGCCTGGCACTCCGGATGTGAGCGGCAAGCGTGCAAGCGCCGACGTGGCTCACGACCCACTTTCGGTGCAACGCTGCGGTCTCCGCTTTGTGGCGCAACGCTGGTGCGCGGCGCGCGGCGGGACCAGGTTCGACCACATGAGCGCCGCATGACGTCGGCGCGACCTCGGCGTCACACCTGCAACTGGTTGACCAAGGCTGCTGTCATTTGCCCATTGTTCTTGCTGCCTTCACAACAATTCTCGTAGAGGCAACGCAAATCAGATTTGTTGACTCTCACAGAGAAAGCAGGGAAAACTCTCAAACTGGTCGGTGAGCACAACACTGCCACCACACAAACAAACCCATGAAACTGACGTCCACCAAAAGGCTTCGAATGAAGACCTTCAGAATCCAAATGGATGTGTCTTTCTTTGAGGGTGCCTGTTTTGAGGCGGTTTAAAAGGAAAAACAGAAGGAAACCCGTCATTTGGGGGTCCCAAAAAGACGACACGCCCAAATGTGTCAGGGTCTCGGTGTCCATCTACCACCGAGACCAAGCGGGGCTGCCCGCTCCCGGCCTCGGGGGCCTCCCGCTCGGCCTGGGCACGGCCCCCAAATGAGTCCTCTATGTTCCGAACGAGGCAACCCTCCCCCCCAAAAACACATAGGCTCATTTCCGATCAAGTGGCTTGGTCAGAAAAAGGAAGCGAACCGTCTGTTTACCGCTAACATGGTCTTTGAACAAGTACAAAGTCCAGTGAACTCGTGATATAGGGCGGGTTTAAGAGGGAGGGCCTCCCCAAAGAATGCTGCTTGCTAAGCCGCACGGTTCCTCCTGGTTGCAGTCGGAAACAATGCTCAAAACCATGGCTGGTGGGAGCAACCACTTCTGCAAGGATCCCTATACAAGGGAGATACCTAAGCATGCAGTCACCCTGCTGGAATAGGTTTGGGGAAAACCGAAGAAATCCAGCTGCTGAATCACCCACATGCATCCCATACCTCCAACGGTTGATTCATTTACTCACCTGCCTATCGGGGGCGAAAAAGCACAAATCATCCCAGGAACCCTAGCCCTTGATGCGGGGCCAATTTCGCACAGAGTCATGAAAATGCTCAGCTTTGCGTGCTCCTGGGAAAGCGACGTATACGACAGTACACCTATCTTTCTCTTTTGCTTTCGACACAGGAGCCCAACCGCATGTAAACACTCTTGTCCCACAATGGGCATACACAGCCAAACTCCGGGAACTGAGGGAGCGATCTTTTATCTGGGTCAGTGTGTTGGCTTTGCAAAACCAACCCAAAAAAGAGCTCCCTAGCAATTCAACAAGCACACACCACCTCAGAATCCCAGGTTTGAATATGGGCAAAAAAAGGGGGCACATGGTAGTACACCCTCCAAGCAAGCAGAAAAAAAACAGGGCACACCCGCGCCATGCTTGAGGAACCCCCCTGCCACATGGAACAAGGAGGGCGCCGTCCGGCCTCAGGCTTTGGTTCCGGGAGAGGGCTGGCCGGACTGGCCGGGCCAGCTGCGCCTGACAAGACTTGCTTGTGGGAATGGAAGCGTCCCAAGGGAACCCACCAGTTGGATGGTTCACAAGTTCATAAGGGTCATTCCCATAGGTGGCCTTTTGGAAAAATCGATGGCCCTGGTAAATGAAACAAAACCCCTCTAAACCAGTGACATCGATTTTTAACCAGGCTCACCTAAAAAGGACACCTATGGTCATTCCAATTCTCATTCCCTGCTGACCAACAGCAAGAAAGTACTTTTGATGGTGGGACGGGTTTACCAATCCGGGTCGACATTCATCGAAAGGGCCAGGTGGCTTTTTGTTGCTTGGTGGGTTTTGAGATTGCCCAAGACCCCTGGCTGTCGCTACCCTAATTCAAGACGCTCCAATTGTCAAATAGAGACTGGGTGGCTGTCCGTGTCTCTTTCAACCAAGCTGAAAGGGCATCCTTAACTGGGGACACCCGCCTACAAATGAACCATGGCGTCTACTTAAATCTGGGGTCAACGTTACCTCCCTCGCACCGGATGCGGCCTCAAGCCTCAAGTCCAACAACTTGACTCACTATCCGATCGACGGGATTGACCAGAAAAACGTCTCAATGGTTTGTCGAAGCCACTCAATTCGTCTCGCCAAAAAGTGACTAAAGTCCGAAACGGAACTCAGGAAGTGAAATAGTTCATGCCCCTCTTTGAATCAACCCCAGGACTTCCGCCCCATAGCGGCATCCAGTTGCGTTGATACGTCCACTCGTGATTCGTGACATCGATTCCCATTCAAAACAAACAGGGTGGAAATGAAACATGGGGAGGCTCGACATTTCACTAACCACAAATCAAAGACTCGCAAATCGAAGACACACAGATTCCAAATGAACACATCTTAGCTTCATTCCAGCAAATCCAAGACTCGCACTTCAAGTGGCCATCGACCTGCCTGCACTTGGCGCCGGCGCAGTCTCCAGAAGAGCCGGCGCTTCGGCTTCCTGGCGGGTTGTTCGCTAAAAAAACCCGCGCGCCAAAATGGATCTGAGAGAGCCGGAGTTGGGTGTGTGTGTGTTGTGTGTTTTGTTCCGGGTACCCGTTTTGGGGGTGACCTTTTTTTTAGGGGACCCCCAAACAAATCGCAGTTGACAAGGGAAAACCAACAGCAAAATTTGGGGGTCCCCTAAAAGCGACTCACCTGCATTTTGGGGGACCAGGCAGAGGCAGGTTTCCCTGGGAGATACGCAGGAGAAACAGATCTCCGTTGTTGAATCTATGGTCACTGTCCCCACCAGGCCCCCCCAGGTAGAGGAATAGGTGGTTTGACCAAGGCGCGCATTCAAACGTGTCCTTCCCAAATCACGGCCTCACTCCCTCAGTGGATTGGTAAAAAACAAATCCAAGCTTTTGGTTTACCACAAAAAAAAGTTAGACATGTCCTTGCCAAATCACGGCGTGGCACCACAAAATTGGCCTTCCCAAAAAGCCGAATGGTTGGCAACTCAGGTGAGTCATCTCTCTAGGTAGGTGGCGCGGGCCATCGAAGGAACCTGCCTCGAGGGGCTCGGTCTCGGCTTCCTCTTCCTCTCCTGCCGCGCAGATGAGCCATCCATTTGTGAGAGGCCAGCGCTCTGAGCTGCTGCAAGATGCAGCCACCCCCCCCCCAATGGAAGCAAAAGACAACACGTTTGTGAAAATGCGAAGGGGGGGAGGGACAGTGCTCCATGGCAAACATCGAAGCCTGGAACAGGAGTCCAACGAGGGTGGAGATGCGCACCTACTGATGGGTTATATACACGCCCCCATTCAAGCTGCACTTCTTTCCACTTGCGTGCGATCATCGTTCTTGCATTTCAAAAAAAAAAAAAAACTATGATCTGAGCCCTCTTCCTCGCCGGCTTCAAAGGGAACCCCCCGTCAGCGCCTGCAAAGATCTCTAGGGCCGGCAACGTCGTCTCCGGCGGCACCTGGCCGCACAGCCATGGCCCATGGCCTTGCGGCAAAGAAGTCCAAGCCAAACGCCCGGCTTCAGCAAGCCACAGCTTGCAAACAATAAGACTCAAATGGGTGTGGCTCAAAATTAGCTATAGTTACGCAGGTGTTAGTCTTTGTTTCCATTTTCCAAGGTGCCATGTTGGCTTGTTTTATATTTGAGCCACAGCCAAAAATCATAATCTGAACATAATGACCTCAAACCTTAAGGTTTGTATCCACTGACCATTCTGGGGGGTGTTCGTCATGAACATTCATGCAATTTTGATCCATGCAGCTCACGGTTTGGGTGACATTTGCCATGACCCAGTCCGGATCGCAGTGCTTTTCGTCCTTGACCCTGGAAGAAGTCTTCTTTGAGGCTCACTTTTGGGGGATGTGCTTTCATTGGGAAACCACCTGCTTTTTCCGCTGTTTTTTTTTTTTAATTGGTGAACCGTCAAATGGGTGGTTTCCTTCCAATCCTCCTTTTACACAACACCAAAACATATCCAAACAAAAAGACACACCCAGCTACCTCTTGGGCTTCCCCAAAGCGCACAGCTCCCCCAACTTTTCGGCTGGCCTGGTGCCAGGATGGCGGTACAGGTTCTCTTGGGTCGGTTTGAAGGGAACCCCAAGCAAAACCAAAAGCCCAAATAGGGGCTTCCCCCACTTACCAACAAATCCATCTGGCCACAATGCCTAATAGGACAACGGCTGGACATGAATCCTAAAGCTTTTCCGTGCCCACTTCAGGGCGCAACGAAATGACTTCAGCTCAGTGGAAATGGATTTGAAAGGTAAGGCGTTCGCCAAAAGGGGCAGGGCACTTAGCATTCGGTTCGCAACCCTAACCCATCTGCAATCCCTGATCCCAGTTACCACTGTAGTCGAGCCATCTTCCTTTTGAACCAAAACCTTCGCAACGACATGGAACCACAAAGCATTCGCTTCCATTTGCGTTTCCGCCCCCTGCACCAAACAAACAATGTCCAGTAGCGAGTCACAGATTCCCTTTAAAGCCAACAGTGGGGAAACAACAAAACACCCAGAACACCCAAAACACCCAAAACACCCAAAACACCCAAAACACCCAAAACACCCAAAACACCCAGAACACCCAGAACACCCAGAACACCCAGAACACCCAAAACACCCAAAACACCCAAAACACCCAAAACACCCAAAACACCCAAAACACCCAAAACACCCAAAACACCCAAAACACCCAAAACACCCAAAACACCCAGAACACCCAGAACACCCAGAACACCCAAACACCCAACACCCAAACACCCCACCCAAACACCCCAAAACACCCAAAACACCCAAAACACCCAAAACACCCAAAACACCCAAAACACCCAAAACACCCAAAACACCAAAAACACCCAAAACACCCAAAACACCCAAAACACCCAAAACACCCAAAACACCCAAAACACCCAAAACACCCAAAACACCCAAAACACCCAAAACACCCAAAACACCCAAAACACCCAAAACACCCAAAACACCCAAAACACCCAAAACACCCAAAACACCCAAAACACCCAAAACACCCAAAACACCCAAAACACCCAAAACACCCAAAACACCCAAAACACCCAAAACACCCAAAACCCAAAACACCAAAACACCCAAAACACCCAAAACACCCAAAACACCCAAAACACCCAAAACACCCAAACACCCACACCCCACCCAAAACACCCAAAACACCCAAAACACCCAAAACACCCAAAACACCCAAAACACCCAAAACACCCAAAACACCCAAAACACCCAAAACACCCAAAACACCCAAAACACCCAAAACACCCAAAACACCCAAAACACCCAAAACACCCAAACACCCACACCCAGAACACCCAGAACACCCAAGAACACCCAAAACACCCAAAACACCCAAAACACCCAAAACACCCAAAACACCCAAAACACCCAGAACACCCAGAACACCCACCCAGAACACCCAAAACACCCAAAACACCCAAAACACCCAAAACACCCAAAACACCCAAAACACCCAAAACACCCAAAACACCCAAAACACCCAAAACACCCAAAACACCCAAAACACCCAAAACACCAAAACACCAAAACACCCAAAACACCAAAAACACCCAAAACACCCAAAACACCCAAAACACCCAAAACACACCAAAACACCCACCCAGAACACCCAAAACACCCAGAACACCCAGAACACCCAAACACCCAGAACACCCAAAACACCCAAAACACCCAAAAACACCCAAAACACCCAAAACACCCAAAACACCCAAAACACCAAAACACCCAAAACACCCAAAACACCCAAAACACCCAAAACACCCAAAACTCCCAAAACACCCAAAACACCCAAAACACCCAAAACACCCAAAACACCCAAAACACCCAAAACACCCAAAACACCAAAAACACCCAAAACACCCAAAACAAAAACACCCAAAACACCCCACAACACCCAAACACAAAACCCAAAACACCCAAAACCACCCAAACACACCCAAAACACCCAAAACACCCAAACACCAAACACCAAAACACACCCAAAACACCCAAAACACCCAAAACACCCAAAACACCCAAAACACCCAAAACACCCAAAACACCCAAAACACCCAAAACACCCAAAACACCCAAAACACCCAAAACACCCAAAACACCCAAACCACCCAAAACACCCAAAACACCCAAAACACCCAAAACACCCAAAAACACACAAAACACCCAAAACACCCAAAACACCCAAAACACCCACACACAAAACACCCAAAACAACCAAAACACCCAAAACACCCAAAACACCCAAAACACCCAAAACACCCAAAACACCCAAAACACCCAAAACACCCAAACACCAAAACACCCAAAACACCCAAAACCCAAAACACCACACCCAAAACACCCAAAACACCCAAAACACCCAAAACACCCAAAAACACCCAAAACACCCAAAACACCCAAAACACCCAAAACACCCAAAACACCCAAAACACCCAAAACACCCAAAACACCCAAAACACCCAAAACACCCAAAACACCCAAAACACCCAAAACACCCAAAACACCCAAAACACCCCAACACCCAACACCCAAAACCACCCCAACACCCACACACCCAAAACACCCCAAAACACCCACCCAAACACCCAAAACACCCAAAACAACCAAAACACCCAAAACACCCAAAACACCCAAAACACCCAAAACACCCAAAACACCCAAAACACCCAAAACACCCAAAACACCCAAAACACCCAAAACACCCAAAACACCCAGAACACCCAGAACACCCAAAACACCCAGAACACCCAAAACACCCAAAACACCCAAAACACCCAAAACACCCAAAACACCCAAAACACCCAAAACTTAAAACAACCAAAACAACCAAAACACCCAAAACACCCAAAACACCCAAAACACCCAAAACACCCAAAACACCCAAAACAACACATGCTCCAAAGCACCTGGACCCCTCCGCCTTGCGCCGGACCCGCTTCGCCCTTCGAGTCGGAGTCCGAGCCTCGAGGCAGCGGGACCGGAACTCGGGGGAGGCCGTGAGCGCGCAGATCTGCTGCAAACCTCGCAGCGCGGCGCTTGGACCCGTGGAATGACCCGCCATCCGTCCTACGCCTTTGACTTCAGGGGAGACGGGGTTCATTCCATTTTACATCCCCTACCGCACCAGCAAGTAGACTAGGTCCTCCAGATTTGAGGGTTTAGAAGAAGTTGGTACCCGATTGGTTCTTCTGTTTTGTCGATTTTAGTAGAGGAACCTTCCCCCAAAAAAGAAATGGTAAAAGGGCACTACTGGGGGACCTAGCTGCGCTTGGGAAGACATGTCCAAGACTCGCTGCCGATCCAGTGGATGGCCCCCAACAAAATAACCTTCCCAGATAGCTGAAAGCTTCTAATAAAGAGGAGAAAGTGGTTTGCGAGATTGACGGCTGGGTGCTAGGGGGCGTGCAGTTGGCAGATAGACAGCCGGGTGCTGCGGGGCATGCAGGTGACGGTGCGGGCGCAGCTTTGCAAGATTGACTGTAGGGTGCTATAGCATGGAGTTTGGGGTGCTGGTGCAGGTGCTGTTTTGGATTCTGTTTGGGGCGGTTTGCGGTGCTGGTGATGGTGCGGGCGCATTTTTGCGAGATTGACGGCAGGGTGCAGGGGGGGTGTTGTTTGGGGTTTGGGGTGACGGCGAGGGTGCATTTGTGCGAGATGGACGGCCGTGTGCTCGGGGGGTGCTGTTTGCTGCGCTGTTCGGGGGGGCTGTTAGAGGTGCTGGTGTGCAATCATCCGCCTGTGTTTCGCTATGTGGGGTCTATGCTGGTGTAATATTGTATTTGTTTGCCCCTAAAAATGGTCCAAACCCAAAAAGTGACTCAAGTTCGGGAACTTGATCGGAAGTGAGACAAATGTCCTCCTGTTGGGACTATGAAAAAACAAATGTGTAGACCAAGACTGGCAAATCCGATTGGCTTTGGCCGTGAGGTCAAACTGGGACCTCAAGACAAATGTCCACTTTGTGCTTGTACGCTGCTATCTTTGTCGGCTTGTGTGTGTGTGTGTGTTGTGTTTGCATGTGATAGCTGTTTGAGGTAGCGGGAAACCGAAAGGACAGCAACCATTTTCGGGGTCGCCCTAATTGACACGCGCACACACACACACACACAGGCCCTCCCATGGCAAACCGGGCCAATCGCTTGCTCTAACACCACAATGCCACCCAATCCTCTGCACTTTAAGGGGATTCACTGGGCATCATAGACAACGACCTGTAAACAATACGCTTCCTCAACCATGTGAAGAAAACCTATAGAGAACAGGAATGCCTGTGTTCGGTGCGGTAGAGTGCTTTCGCCGGAAGAGTGAGAACTGTCAAAGCCAAACCCATTTCCACCCGTTTGGTTTGATCATTCATTTTAGGAACGGCTCAGAGCAACCCGAGAAGAAACCAAATGTCAGCTTCTCCCTAATTGGTGGTTTGGATTGGTGGTGCTTAAGGGTAGTGTCACCATTCTCTTTCTAGAGCCAAAGGTCCAAACCCCAAACGTCACCAATCCAAATCACCAATTGACGGTTTCCTGAAATTGGGCCGCGGGCTTTGCTGGCAAGATTTCCGGAGCTCCGGCCTTAGACACGAATCAAATTCCAGGTGACTTTCAGGCGACGACGCGGGCGCCTTATGGCAATGGGTAGCCCGAGCGCCTGATCTCCACCTGTCTCCATGACCCTTAAAAAGTGGGGTCACTATCCAAAAAAAAGGGGTGAACCCATGTTCAAAGGGTCATGGAGACTCTAGGTATGCATCCTTTGAGAAAACAAAAACAAAAACAAACAAAAAACTCATCCACTTGCTAAGCCCTGTGGCGGGCGGTTCACTGCGGGGTGTTTATGGGCCGCTTGAGCCCCCCTAAGGTGCCGCATGTTGTTAGTTGTTGGAAACCACTCGTATATACCCAAATAATTCTGCGAGTGAACGGGGAACCAACCTTTCCCTGGCAGGCAAAACTCGCTTTGATGAGAAAAGCCAGCAACACTTGCTTGAAAGGTCTCCTGCACCGAGGGACTAGCTCATCCAGATCAAAAGAAACCCTCCAGGCGCTGACATGATTTCATAGTATCCTCCCTCCCGCCAACATAAATTCGAGGGGGGGGGGACCATTTTTGTTGGAATAATTGAAGATACCTTTTGGTGGGTTCCATTGGGTTGATGCATTCAAATACAAAGGCCATGCCGTGATCGTGTGCTTCTTGCCTGCCTTGCAACTACAGTACTGCCTCCAATCTGGTCACCCCAATTGCTGGTTTGGAGTGGGAGGAATCACCCCAACTCAGCTCTTCTTTTCCACACGCCACTTACCAAACCGAAAACCCCATCTCGTTTCAAGCTGATGAAAGGCACACAGCGGTGCTGCGGATGGGGATGCCATGATATCATGATGCCAAAAAACGATGGCCCTTTCTCTTGCGCGACTTTGCAAGAACCTCATCCGAGGGCAAATCCTGCGCATTAATTGGAATGCCTTCATACTGTACCCGGCACAAGCAGCATGAAGACCCCCCCCCCGGTAATACAGTTGTGACGATTCTGGGGCGTCATTTTAACGGTTATCCAGCAACAAAAAGCACCACACGAAGGCGCTTTCTACTTTCTACAGCATAAATTTAGCTTCCCTCTGATGGCTTGCATTGTTGGTTTGGAGGTGTTCTGGGGCTCCCAAGGTTCTCGGAACTTTCAAGGCATCCTTGCAGGCCGATTGGTATCTATTCAGGGGTTCTTAGGGCTTGCTTGCATACTGTGGATGGTTGCAACAATTCTTCGCACCGCCAATTGAAACCATGGTCGAAACCAGAATATTTCTTGGTATATATACAAGAAAATCGAGTCACTCCGTTGGGATTCTGAACGGTGGTGCAAAAGGAAATAAATTTTGTCCATCCAAAGTAGGTACCTAGGGATCCTTCGAGATTGTCAAGAAAATAACAACCTGCACACTTGTTGTGCCTTCCGTTTGGCCTTCCAACGAAACAGCTATTCTCCCTTCAGCCATCACCCCACCAAAGGAAACGTGAAGTGGCAACCAAAAGGTAATGGCTAAAATGACCAACGTGGGAAATCTGGGTGTTGTTCCTTTGGTGTCCCTTTCCTTTCCTCCCCACCGAGAAAAAGGTGTATCAACTCCAAACAGGGCACATCCATCATCCATCTGCGAATGCTTCATGGAAAATCCCAACAGCATGGAAAAATTGGATCCCCAAGTAGTCCCGACCCTTGTCATGGCTTTCGCTCAGCCCCAGCCCCAGAAATTCGACCGGTGAGCTCTGCGCGAGGCACTCCAGGCCCCCCGGGCAGGCGCGCCTCCGAGCTCAGGAACCGGAGCTGCTGCAAGGCCTCGAAAGCGCGGAAGCGCGCGAAGGGATGCCCAGGGAGCGAGAGGAAGCTGGCTGACCCGGAAAAAAAGAACGGCTCACCTGGAAAAACAGGGGCTTTGGGGGCCGTGTGGTTGAAAAAGAAATACAAATCCGGGAGTGATGCAGCAGATTCCTTGAAACCAAGCAGGGAAAACTCTGAAACTACCCTGCAAAAATGGGAGGGGGGGGGGGGATTGATCTCCCCCCAAAGTGACGGGGTGATCTCCCACTAAGAGTAGTTTGAGGGTCCAGGCCGGCGGAAAGCTTTTGACAGTTGGACTGTGACTAAATAAAGACAATGGAAAGCCAACTGGTACAGGGTTTCTTGAGGGATACATGGCTGTCAAAACCGGTACCAAAATAAGCAGCTTACGGCAATTTTACTGGTGCATAGGTGTCCTTTTTGGTTGATGTGTGTCTTTACAAATGGCAAACCACCAGGCAAACGAGGGCCATCGATCTTCTTCAAAACCAACAGAACTGCCACGGCTGGTATTATTCTTGGTGTTCGTTGCTTGTCAGGCCATGGCGTATAGCAAACTCACCCATCCAAAAGCACCGGGCGCCTCGAGCAACGCGAGGGTCGACCTGGCAAGGATTTGATCGAGGGGCTTTTCCTGGGCATGGCTCAAACTTGAAGGAATTGGACAAGTTTTGGTTTCCATGCTTCTTTTGACCCACAGCCATATAAAGGGCTTATTGTGACTTGTTGTCAACCCCATCAAACCAAGCAATACCACCTACTTAAATGGCCACTAGACACTTTGGGCGCTCACGAAAAGAAACAACAGCGCACAAGCTTAACCAAGCCTCATGACCATAGGTGTGCTTTTGGTAAAATAGATTATTTTGGACATGGGGCATAACACCCATCTAGCCAGTGCCGTCTATGTCAAACCAAAACTGACCTACAAAGGACACCAATGCTCATGACTCGCGCTTAGAGCTCGCCGACACTCTTGAGAACATCTTGGCAAAGAACTCCGCCTGAAGTCTTGGCGAATCTCCGGGTTGAAGGAGGGCCATCTTCACCCCTTTTTGCCATATCTGCACCTTGGCAAACAAAGCACCGCTAAAAAGTACCCTTGTTGGTTAAAAGGGAGGATTGGCCCCTCGTCCCTTTTTTGGTCCCCTTATGTCCCCTTTTTTGGTTCCCTTATGTCCCCTTTTTGGCAAAACAAGGTGAAGGGCACCCTTTTTTAAGGGACCACTCGCCGTAAACGGGCACCGCTAAAGTGGTGGTGTCGTGCCCTGCCTGCCCAGAGCCTGCTCGTCGATGACTTGCAGCCTGAAAGCTGAAGCGCTGAAGCCACGACTAGTTGACACACCATGGCTGGTGCGATAGGTAGCGAATGAGAGAATGAACCTGGAGCAACAGGGGATTTTTTTTGGGGGGTCAAATGAACCTGGACCAATAGGGGATGGCTTTTCTTGGGGGTCGTTCCATTTCTCAATTCCTGCTGAGCACCAGCAAGTGCTGTAGATGGTGCGTCCCTTTAGTCATAGGTTTTCAGACATGCCAACTGCTTGCTGGACGTTTCGATGCCCCCAGCTACTTCTTGGCCACGCGGCACCTGCCTAGCAAGCAAGCAAGCAAGCAAGCAAAGCAAAGCAAAGCAAAGCAAAGCAAAGCAAAGCAAAGCAAAGCAAAGCAAAGCAAAGCAAAGCAAGCAAGCAAAGCAACAAAGCAAAGCAAAGCAAAGCAAAGCAAAGCAAGCAAGCAAGAAATCAAAACAGAAACACGATCACAACGAAACACGCAAGCACGCAAACAAACCTACAGGCCAAGAACAGTGAAGGCCTGGTTTCACCGAACCCGCGCTGACTTTCGGTGTGACTTTCTTTTCCGGTGCTCTCGGCCTGCTGAGCCAAAGCAAGGTGCCGCCGGCGGCGCCCTTGGCGTTGCCGGACCTCAAAAGACGATGTTCGTTCGATCCGATCCCCTGGGGGGTTTTGGAGCGGTCGGGGTTCTGAAAAATGGAGTCTGAGCTCTAGAGTCTCCTTCTGACCCTGTAAAACTGGGGTCATGCCCCCAAAAGAGAGGGTAGTGACCCCATTTTCCAAAAAGGGTCAGGCAGACTCTAGGTGTTTCAACCATGCAACTGGCGGTTGCCTTTCTTCGGGCATCCAACCGGATGGAAAATCAGCATGCAGTTGGATTATCGCACCTTGTCGCAAGACATGCGAAGGGCCACCAACCCCGGCATCTGTCAAAACCACTGGCTAAAGTCAGGGCCGTGGTTTCGGGCAGAGCTGCTAAACCCAGATGCCCAGTGGATTTCCATGGGAAAAAAGGGCATCCTTTTTTGGTTGGTTGACTTTAAGGGGGAACCCTTCAAAAAAAAAGAAAAAAAGGCACCACTGGGCAACTAGGTAAATATAAAGGGCGTTGCATATTTGCCGCCCAAATGCACTGTGAAGCGGGAAAATCTAGGTGTTGATCAAAAGTGTCATTGTTAAGGTTAGATCCCCAAGAATTGTGATTCCATTTGGTTTCCCTTTAGAATCAACTATATACATTGCTTACGGCTACTGACGGATCGGGGGATATCGGCTAGCCAAGGCGCGTCGCGTTCATCACGGCGCGCCGAACCTCGCGCATGATCCGCGACCTCGGGCTGGTGGGGGAAAGCAGCTTATGTCCAAGAAAAACCGCTCACTTGCCACAATTCTGGAAGTCGAAAGACCCTAGGATGGATCAACACAGGGAAACCAAAAGGTTCTCATTGCGCTCATTTGCCAAATGCAAATGACTATCACAGTCGATATTTGTTGGAGGGAGCCGTCTTCCGCAAGCCTCCAACCACCATCTCATTTCACTTGGATGTTTCCATACCACCCGCTTGGTGCTTTGGCTTGCCTTTCCTCAGCTGAACCCTCTCAACATAGAAGCACAACATATGGCTGTGGGTCAAACATTGGTACCCAAAATGGACCCCTGGCAAATGGAAGCATGGACTAAAACCTTCGGTCCAATTCCTGGTGGTTTAGTTTTGACCCATACCCATATCCTTTGTCTTTGGAACAGTGGGCCTTTTGGCCCAGCGAGTCGCACATTATTCAACCAGCTACCTTGTTTTAGGATAAACATATACATATCTTTATATACGTTGAAATACTGCGGATGGACCAAATCCATTCGCACAACTTTGAAACCGTGCTTGAAACCATTGTTTGTTGTCATTTACGTTAGGGAATCAAACTTTTCCAGGGTTTCTTAGGTGGTAGGGCGGCCTCAAACATATGGTTGTCCTGTTGGTTGCCCGGTACCACTCAAGCAAGTGCCGAGCCTCAAACAAGCACAAGCCCATATTCAGCTCAAACCCAAGCAACTCCCCTCACTCATCAGAGGGTCCAAAGTGGACACTTTGAGGATGGCTTTTCAGGAGCGCCTATCTTAAGATGGACGAAATCCTGCAGCACCTCAAAAGCCCTGAAATCATGATTCCCCTGTACATACCAACAAACATAGGCTTTCCATGGTTTCAAAGTGGTGCAGGATTTCGTTCATCCACAGTAGGACATGATGCCTCGCTCTAAAAATCTGCGCTCGCGTCGTTTCTTCGGCTCTTTGGAGGCGTCCGAAGGCCCCGAATTCGAATTCCGGCCGCGCAGGCGGCTGAGGTTTAACCGGAGACGGGCCGTGCCAAATCCGGTCTGGAAAAAACCATCGAACATCCATCCCACCTGTGTCCTGAAGAAATTTGTAATGTGATTTGTAGCGCCCTAAACACTCCAAGGCCTAACTCTTTGCAATGGGTGAGACGGAAGCTGCAAAGCGTCTCTTTGCTGAGTCTCGCTGCTCAGGAACGCTTCGCACTGCTTGTTCTTTCCCAGCTGTGGAACAACCGAAAGCATGATTGTTGCCTCTTTTCCTTGTGGTTAAAACTCGGGGGACATCATGTTCATCTTCCGCATGCTTTAGTTGCAAAACCAAGAAACCACAAACACATTCGCACCTTCTCCCGAATCGATTTGGGCAACCAACCAAAAATAACGCGGCTGGTTTCAATCTACACAAAGTCGGGGGGCGACCCCAAGCAATCGCAGGATGCCAGGATTCGGGGCGAGCGCTTATCGGCTCGGAAGCTCAGGGCGCCGCAAACCTGCCAAGGGACAACCGAGACACGTCCATTTGCTTCTTGGCCCCCGGAACAGATGGAAGACACATCCAGTAGTGAAATCGATTTCCTAAAAAAAAACACACCCAACCTGTGTGGGAGAAAAAAAACAGAGACTACTCATTTCAGCTAAATGGAAGCAGATGAAGAAAATGCTGTTTGGTGTTCTCAGCCCCCACGGACCTGGACATAAATGCTCCCTTGGCAGCCAAAAATGCGCCAACCTGTTTGGTGGGCTTCGAACCACTGAGTCTGATGTCCAACTTGTTTTTGGGAACCCAAAAAGGGGAGTTTCATTCAGTTCGGATCTGGGATATTTTGCGGGGTGGGTGGAGTGGGAGATGTTAACGCGCGCCCAAACTGCGTGCAAACCTGAGAAGATGTTCACTTTCGGCTTGTCCCCTCAAACAAAAAGACAGCAGCCGCACTCTTCCCCCTTCCAACCACCGGCAAGCAAAGGTAGGGTCGCCTCATTTCCCCTTGGCCGCTCGGATTATTTCTCTTCTTGACGTTGGAAGGGCAGCAAAAGTATTTAAGTTTTAGCAGTTCAGTGGTTGGATTTCAAGCACTGGACCGCACCAAGCAAACATGTAAAACATGTTTCCCAACAACAACCTGTCTTGTTCTCCCCCTGCCTGCTGGGCCGGGAGTCCTTGTAGTGGTTGATGTGCCCCGACTTCCGCAAGGACACCTCCGGCACCGAGGTGAGCTCTTCGTCCTGACGGCGAGTTCGAAGCGACGACGGAGACCGACTCAGCCCAGGCGCTCGGCATTTGCCGCGGCGGTTTGGGTGTCGTCGTTTCTTTCTAAGGCCAAGTCTTTTGGGGGTTTCTAGGGTTTGATTCCTTGTCCATTATTTTCAACCATTATTATTTTCACACACCGGCCAATTTATCTGGGTTTCTCGAGCTTTTTTGGAAAGAAGGATCCCTGGAAAGAAAGGTACAAATAGAAGGTTGGGCTTAAAGGAAACCCACAAGGAGATCCAGCATTTTTGGGGGGTCCCCCGATTTTAAGACACAACCATATTGGTATCTACTTGGTGAACCACGGGAAAGTCAAGGTCTTGAGAACAGAGTTTCTGCCTGAATACATTGCTTGCAAGCTTGTTCCAAACCGACCAAGAACAGCCTGAAACACACATTCCCTCCCGCGCGACCACAAACCCTACGCTCTGCCCATTCAATCACCAAAACCCTTCCGCCAGCATTTCCCCCCAGCAGCGCTTCCAGTTGCCATAGTTGGTACGCAATATTGAAAGCTGTTCCGTAAACCTGGAACATCCAGGTCACTCTAGAATAAGGACAACTGGAAGCGCTGGGGCATACAGCGCCAAGCAGTTCAAACAGCCTTTCTGTCTGCCGCGGGTGTTATAGTAGCAACGAAAACATGGAGTCGCAAAACAATATAAGCATAAAAGACAGCCCGAAAAACGGAACACATGCACTTCGCGCAGTTGCTTTGTAAGACTTGCTATGTTTGACCTGCTCCAATGACCAGCCAACAAAGTCTGAACTTTCTGGTTGCCACTAAACTGGTCTTCCAACAAAGTATGAGGTGCGGGAACTCAGGAAGTAAGCCAAAGCAAAAGCTGCCGGTTCACCAACTAAGCTGACCTCCAGTCAACCCCCAAGTCAGCCGGTCAGCCCCTTGACCCTCACGACCTCTACCCGGGGTTACCACTGGCCTCATGATTTTGCCATTAAGTGGGCTAAAGGGAAGCCAGCCCATTGACAACCAGAAAGAAGCAGTCAACACAAATGACCCCAATACAAACGATTACTAATTCCCTGGGCATGGACGTGTCCAGACTCAATGGCCGAGATGACCCGTGGTATCTCAGCAAACCACCTGGCTGAGTAACCACTTGCCTCAGTCACCTTCCTTCCCCTATGCATTGGTGAAACTACTTTCCTGTTCGCTTCCTTCCGATCGAGTGATGGCCCAATAAAAGCCACTCCAAACTTTTTGGTATCCCACGCCAATGGCACCAAACCCAAGTGAGTCAAGTCCATGAGCTAAAGTGAGATCTTGGTTCGGGAATTCCCGACCTTCATGGCCCTCATACTCAGTACTCCCGGTCGGCTCTAAAAAAAACTAGCCAAATGCTTCGACTCAAGGCCAACGCCTTCGAAACGCCTTCGAACATGTTTCAGCCAGAGTTGTGTAAACTCCCTTTTTGCCTTCCCAGGATTGCCTAAACCAAATTTGCCACCCGTGGCTGCCAAACTTATTCTCTTGCGACTCTTGGACAACTGTTCGAGGGAGAAACCATGTCTCGGTTCCTTGCAGGGCCAATCAGCTTCCTACATGTTGGTGGTTTAGATTGGTTGTTTTTGGATTGTGGAGGGAAAACAGTTCTGCTTTCCCCCTTAACCAAACCACCAAACCCCAAACCACCAACCAGGTTTGGAGGCTGATGAAGGAGGCCTTTCCCAGTGGATTTCCGTGGGAACGAGTGTATAGCTGGCACCTGTTTGGGGGGGGGGGGAAGTCGATGTTCAAGGGGCCCCAACCCTTAAGAAGAAAGAGCAACACAAATGCCATGCCAGGGCAAAGAAGTGGCCATGGGAAAAAAACACTCCTGCTTTTCCAAGGGAAAGGAGGGTTCCAACCCAATTCCCACCAAAAGCGAGGATTTCCACGGTAGAGCTTCCCTTTTTTCTAACGGTTGATTCCTTGTCCATTCTTTTCAACCATCGGTTCTTTTCAGAAACCGGATCTGTTTCCCCTGAGTCTTTGCTGGTTTCCTGCAAAGAAGGATTCCTGGAAAGAATGGAATTGGAAGGCACCCCTGGATGTTTGCCGGTTTCTTGGCCACGCTCGTCCCCGTTCCGTTCCGTGTACCAAATTTCACCCTCCTCGATGGAGGCGCGGGTGAGCTCCTCGATGCCCAACTCCAGCTTGCGCCGGACCTCCTGAGCCGAAAAGCTCAAGCTCTTCCGGGCCCTCAGATCCCTAAAAGTGATTAGTGTCAAGATAGGATGTAGGTGTCTCTTTTTGGCCAAGTTACAAAAAGGTGGTAGAATATCCTGTCTCAAAACTGGGCCGCCCTCAGATCCCCCGCGAAAAGCTTTTAACTTTTAGTGGAGGAAATGGAAACTGCCACTAAACACTTAAAAGCTAAAAAGCTACGGGGATGGCTGGGAGCCGCCAAGAAGATAGGATATGGGTGTCTCTTTTTGGTCAAGTTACAAAATGGTGGTAGAAAATATCCAGTGGCTAGTCTTGAAGTGGCTTGCGAGTGCTCATTTTCGTTTTGGAGGAAAAGCATAATGTGTCTTTTGGTTTCGCCTTAGAACCACCAAAAGGGGTGCCCTCAAAACAGGCATCCACATGGAACCCCTTACAGGTGATGCTTCCCCTGGGTTTTCCTTTAACTGCAACCGCAACCTACAAAAAGGCGGCCAACTCCAACATGAGTGGTCCCTGGAAAAAGACACATCCACATGGAGACTTTGTTTGGTTGGTGACTGAAGGGAAATCGCGGG